TACAGCACCTTATCATGTGGTTGAGACGTCTCAAAGCGCTTCACAGCATATACTGTAAAGTGTAGTGATTGTGAAGCGTTGTGGGTAAAACATGACTATTGAAGCTGAGCCCACAATGGCATTTGAAAGGTAAATAGATAAATACTTAACAACAAATAATATTAATAGTTATGGGAGGAAAACATCACAGATCTAAAATTAGACAAGATAGCTGCAATGGGGAAGCTAGCCAGTATTCACACACACACACACACACAGAAGGCTGGACAGAGACTTATGATTCTATGGAAAGACTTGTGTGTAATTCTTAAACAAAAGTCTATGAAGAACGTTTAGACAAATAAATTTACAATCTGGAAAGAAAGTGATTAAGCATTCGAGGGGGTGTGTACAATGATGTACATAAACTAGTTTATGGGATTGTATGAAGAGAAATTCCACCCAAATTTACATTTATTTTATTTATGTAGCATTTTCGAGCATCCGGAATGTGGAACAGAGGCTTAACTTTGAAGTTGTTTTTCTGCAGTTCTTAAAATAAACTTTTGCAGAAAACAGACTTCAAAGTTCAAACCGAATAGAATTTGCCAGATTCCGAACGCTCCAGAAAGCTACATAAATAGAGTAAATCTACAGAGAGACGGATTAGACACCCCAGCGAAGGCAAACAGTGATTCTTACTGCAAGTAGAGCAAAGAATATAGGACTAGAGGGAGTCGAGGGAAATAATGTCAGTGAAAACTAGAAAATAACGTTTAAAAAGGTTTGAAAGTTTTGCTAATATTTTCATCACCAAATCTTTTCATGTGCTGTATTTTATTTAATCAAATTGATTATTTTATGAATGCAGCTGTGTGAGTGTCTGGATTTCCCAGGGTATCTCAACTCATTACAGAAGTATTTTTAAACTTTTTTAATAATTGGACTAGATTCTATGAATTATAACCAGTTTCCGCCTGTGTCAGACACCCAGCTGACCAGAAACAAGTTCTCAGCAGTTTTGAGTTGGTGAAACCGATATTAATCAAATTTATCTTCTTTTCTCTGTTGATCTGTAGAACATCCTTACACTTCCATGTCCTCTCCTCCCCAACATGTGCCTTTACAGCCAGGGGAGTGATCCTGGGGAGTGATCAGGACCTGCCCCCCCCTCCCTCCGCCTCCATATATATGTTTAGCGTGTTCATCTGTCTGGGGCCCTGCCCTGTGGGAGGGGCGCTATATAAATGCAAGTTGTTGTTGTCCCTATGGCAAAAGCTGAGGGGGCTGTTTGACAACTCGGGATGTGAGCAGATACACAGAATGGTTGGTTCGGGGGCATTATTACTGCGACACACACACAGATGGTGACCTGGACTACACATCCCCCACCACAACAGGGGTTAAACATTCTGCTAGTGGTACTCTCCTGCTCAGGGTTCTTACGAGTGGAAACCCCTCACCCCCCCGCCCCCAAATAAATTGAAACGAGAAGCAGTTCAAAGAGGGAATCATTTGGTTTCAGTTGTAAACGTGTGACCTTTCTTTCATCTGTTGAGTCTCCATTGTGGTCTCCCAGAGACACAGATGTGCAGCTCTTTCTGTGTCTCTCTCTGCTGCTGATCCCAGTTATAGGGGACCTCAATGAAATCATGCTGAACAGTCTCTGTGTGGTTCCCAGGGGATTGGAGAGTGAAGCACTAACGTGCTTTGCAGACATGTGCCAATTGGCACCAAGTCAGGAATTGTACCTAAAATGGCCATAAATTAAAGTGTAGGAAATGGAAATGTCACCCTGTGGATTGGATTCCTGCACATTGCTGAGGCAATCGTACATCCAATCGTGGAGTCCTGTAGCGCAGTGGTTACAGCCCTCGCCCCACAAGCGAGAGGACCTGGATTCAATTCCGAGGCAGGCTAAACTTTAGACAAGTTTCCTTACTCCACACACCTCTGTTTACCCAGCAGTAAGTAGGAACCCGGTGGCTTTTCCGGGGGTAATAATCCCTTCAAAAAAATGGAAAAAATAATAATTTGGTCACTCAATCCACGACTGTTTGTGGGACACTGCTGTGTACAATTGGCTGCTGTGTTTCCCCCACAAAATATACAGTCAATTTACTTTACAGTATATTCTGTGAAGCGCTTTGAGACATCTCAGACCATTACATGGGGACGGAGGAATGAATATACCATAGGGTGAGGGGGCACTAACACTGCACACGTTGAGGAAGTGTATGAAAATCCCCCACAAATACTAAAGCAACAACAGAAAGTCCAGTGAATATGATAAGCATGATGGTAGTGTCAGCAAATAAACAGCAGGGCTCTTAAACACTGAACCAGAGAGAAAAGATAATCAAATTTAGTTTAATACTATGCCTTGCCGTTACTATTGCGGGTAACAGAGTCACATTGAGAACGGTGGAGTTGTGTTCGATTACAGTGAAGTAAAATTTTGTTTAATAATTGGCAGTTTCAGTGAATGTAACTGTGCCAAACTCGTTAATTAGTCTAAGATATTGATGACTTTAGTGATTGATGTTAACCACCTCGCACACACATTAGGAAACGTACCCATGTGGTAGAAGTGAAATTTTTCATATATTCTAACAAATACCAGCCGCTGAGAAGGTTTGCAGAGCTCACTGCTGTTCTGTACAGACCATTACTCCAAGGTCAGCTCAAGGTTATGTGAGAAGGAGAATTGTGTAGAGTGGTAGGTTTTTAGCAGTTGAATTAAATTACTCATGCCTTTCCCTCCCAAGGAAGCCCAGTGGATTCTCGGTTTCCTTTTAAAACAATGTCATTTGAGTAGCCTCAGAATCGTCCCAGATTTCATCATGTTTTCCATTCCCTAATGGGCAGCTCTCCATGTCATTGTAATAATTGATGGAGTAAGGCTAGAGGTGGAGGCTTTGTCCTGTCAGGGCAGGAAATGTAAGGGATGGGGAGTGGTTCCATTTAGGATCTGGATCTCACTGTGAGGGACAGCAACTGAGAAGCTGCACTTGCACAGCATAGGGGGTTAGGCTTAGGACAACGCCTTGGGGTTCATACTTCAGTCATTTATTTGATTTATCCTTTATTTGTTTATTTTTTATTTGTTTTCTTCTTATGTTGCAAATGCAGTATAATTACAAAGAAAAATTTGGTCACTCAATCCCCGACTGTTTGTGGGACACTGCTGTGCGCAATTGGCTGCCACATTTCGCCCACAAACCATGCAGTCAATTCACTTTTCCAGCATATCCTGTGAAGCGCTTTGAGACATCTTGATGACATGATAAGGCGCTGTGTCAAAGCATGTCTGACAATGCATTTCTCCCCCAGCATTGCAATGGAGTGAGGTCTTGGGTTATGAGCTTTTGCCTGTGAGGGAGAATGCTACAGGACTGTCCAGCAGTGATAATGGTGTGTAATCTTTTCCCTCCCAACCCCCTCCCCATACCAGTTGGTGTGTGCACTGAGCATTATAGAAACAACAACAAACAACACGGTTACAAGTGTAAAGCACCTTACACGTCAGGAGGACGTCCCAAGGCGCTGGACAAACAAGAGTTTCGAACAAGAGCTGGGGGTCAGGGTGGAGAGCAGGGAGGGAGCAGGGAGATCGAAAGCACGGTCGAAGAGGAGGGTCTTGAGATGGGTCTTGAAGGTGGCGAGGGAGGAGGCGAGGGAGGGTGCGAGACGGAGGGACTGTGGGATGGCGTTCCAGAGGGTGGGGGAAGAGTGGCAGAAGGCCTGCCCGCCAATAGTGGGACGAGCGAGACGGGGGACGTGAAGCAGGTCGGAGCCTGCTGAGCGGAGGGAGCGATTCCTGTAGCTCAGTAGTTAGAGCACTCGCCTTGCAAACGAGAGACCTGGGTTCAATTCCAGGCAGAGGGCGAAACCTCGGGCAAGTTTCCTTACTCCACACAGAGCCTAATAATAATCCCTCCAAAACCAAAAACAATAATAAATTGGTCATTTTCAATCCACGACTGTTTGTGGAACGCAATTGGCTGCCACGTTCACCCACAAATATACAGTCAATTCACTTTACAGCATATTCTGTGAAGCGCTTTGAGACGTCTCGGAGACGTGATGAGGCACTATATCGAATGCAGAGATTATTATTATATTATTATTATGGTAGGGGTTAGGAGGTGGCAGAGGTCGGGGGGAACAAGACCATGGAGGGCTTTGAAGGTGAGGACCAGGATCTTGAACTGTATCCTCTGTTGATGGGAAGCCAGTGGAGTCGGGCGAGGATGGGGGTTATAGGGTCATGGGGTCTGGTGCAGGAGAGGACACAGGAGTAGATTGCAGAGTTCTGGATGATCTGCAGCCTATGAAGGGAGGAGTTGGGGAGATGGACAAGAAAGGAGTTTGCATAGTCAAGCCTCGATGTAATGAAAGCCTCGATGGAACAGGAGGAGGCCATTCAGGCCCTCAAACCTGTTCTGCCATTCTATGAGATTATGGCTGATCTGTACCTCAACTCCAATTACCCGCCTTTGCCCCGTATCCCTTGATCCCCAGACCTGAAAACATCACCTCAAACTGGACAATGTGAATGGATCCACAGCCATAATCCACAGGGTTTTGGGGGTGGGAGAGAGAGTTCCAGATTCCCACTGGCCTTTGGGTGAAAAACTGCCCCTGATTTCACTGCTAAATGGCTTCGCTGTAATGTTAAGATGTTGCCCCCTTGTTCTAGATCCCCCACCAGAGATTTTGTTATTCAACACGTTCCAATAATTTGCTTTGGGACGTCCTCCTGATGTGAAAGGTGCTATACAAATGTAATTTGTCGTTGTTGTTAATGCATAGCTTTGGAGTAGATTGTTTCATATCGTATGGTTTCACTGTGACACCCTGAGAGATTAAGTACAGATCAAGTAATACTTCCTCAGAATTAATGACCTCTGGTGTAATGTAATGGCTGTGGGCCTCGGTATAATTAGGTTAAACTAATTGCTTTTTCTAGCTTTGTGTTTCAAGGCTATTATATTGATGTGTTATTTTTCTGTTACCAGGTGGCGATAAAATCAATTCGGAAAGATAAAATCAAAGATGACCAGGACATGGTTCATATCAGACGTGAGATTGAGATCATGTCGTCCCTCAACCATCCCCACATCATCAATATTTATGAAGGTTTGTGTGTTTATTATTTCTGTCTTGCAGAGTCTGTCTCCACAGATTGTCATACTCTAATGATGCAAAATTGAGACGTCTCGAAGACATGATATCACGTCTTTGAGACGTCTTAAAGCGCATCACAGAATATACTATAAAGTGAATTGACTATAATTTAGGGGTGAAACTCTGTATATTCTATATTCTGTGAAGTGCTTTGAGACGTCTCGATGATGTGATACAGAGCTATATCAAATGCAAGGATTATTATGACAAGTCTGATAGCTTCGATACTGTTCGCTTTTCGAGACAACAGACATTGACCCAAAGGCTAAAGCTGTGTGAGCTGAGAGCTAATGTATGCGATGTACAAACCAAGGCAGCTGTGGTGTAAGCACTAAATCTGAAAACACAGAGACTTGAAGTGACGATTGCTACACTACTGGACTGACCAGTGGGAGTGGGGCCTCTCGCACATAAATTACTGAGAGCTAAACCCACTCTCTTTATCTCTGTAGAAAACATTGTTTGCAATAAATTTTCACAAGAAACAACAGATGGAATTGATGTGCTGCTCACTGATGTGTGGAGTCCTGTAGCTCAGTGGTTAGAGCACTCGCCTCACAAGCGAGAGATCTGGGTTTGATTCCTGGTCAGAGCAAAACGGTTTCCTTACCCCACACGCCTGTTTACCAGAAGTCAGTAGGAACCGGTTGTTAGTCGATTGGCAGATCGCTTTTCCGGGGGTAATAATCCCTTAAAAAAATTATTTTGTCACTCAATCCACGACTGTTTGTGGGACACTGCTGTGCGCAATTGGGTATGGCGTTTCGCCCATAAAATACACAGTCACTACACTTTATAGTATACCCCGTGTAGGGCTTTGAGACGTCTTGGAGACGTGATAATTTGCTTTATAAAATGCAAGGATTTTTATTATTATTACTTAGACAGCAAGGTCTGTGATTGGGAGGTTGCTGTCAGCAAGATGAGCTTGGTAATAATCTCAATTTATCAGCTGAAATAAACATTGGCCGGCCTGATTTTTCTTGCTGTTTGTTGGAATAAGATTGCTTGATTGCAGCTGCTTTTGACAGGTTTCCAGATGTTATTTCTTTTGTGCTACTGGTTTCAAGTGTCTGACAGAACCAGACAACAATTCATTGCGTGTGATACACAAGAACCAACAAACATTCCTGTCACTAGAGTGCAGAATAAATTATTCCATCCACGCAAAATCATTAATGTTTGATAAAAGTATTTAATCACCATGGGATGCCGGTAATACAGTATAAAGTTTCACGGAATAGCCTGAGTCCTCCCAGAGAGAGCTCCACACCCTATAAGGGCATGATTTAAGGAGCTGTGATCCGTTATGTTTGATCTCCCCAGTTGCTGGGCTGCCCTCCATGGACTGTGTTTCCTGGAGAGGCTAGACTGCCTGGTGTCAGCTCAGCTGACCTCACACCAACATTCAACACTTCAAAGTATTCGCTTGGCCTGGTGAAGCTGATTTATGTATTTCCCATCAGGTCAGGGTGTTCTCTCATTTCCTCTACAATATCAGGCGACGAATGAAAAATATAATCATCCTCACTCAAACAGAACCCATCTGCCAATAACAAATAATAATTTGGACTATTTATGGTACACTGCTGTGTGCAATTAGGTGCCCACAAAATACACAGTTACTACACTTTACAGTATATTCTGTGACTGTACCACTGTAGTTACTATTCATTACGCTGACCCACAGCTTGCTTTTCTCCCACAGTTGGCACTTAACCTCCTTTGATGAAATGTAACTTTTTAATAGAACTAGCATTTCTTGCAATGCTTCTTGGCGTGGTTTGGTTTGAATGGCTGGCAAAGATTACATTGACTGTTCTCCAAAAAGATTTGCTAAAGTGGCTGGGGTATTCTTGTGGCCAAATTATCCAGCAATCCTGATCTGTACATCACAAACTATTTACACCAGTCTCAACATTCAGCTGTGCACTCTGGCCAAAGCACCTAATAAGTCACTATTTTTAAACTAATGTATATTTGTCAGGCCAGGGTATTAAGGGATATGGGGCAAGTGCAGGTAATTAAGGTACAGGTCAGCCGTGATCTTATAGAATGGGGGAACAGGCTTGAGGGGCTGAGTGGCCTCCTGATCCCTTCTCGTGGAGTGTACTTTCAGCCACATGTCCCTATCTCAGCCACTTGGCTTCCCAGTCGGTGGTTTGTGACGTGATCCTGATGTGAAAGGAACGATCTGGATGTGTTGTTTGCCTGTTAGTGTCCATCACAGTAAACCTGCTCCTCTTTGTCTCAGCAGTTTTCGAAAACAAGGACAAAATTGTGATTGTTATGGAATATGCGAGTAAAGGTGAACTGTACGACTACATCAGCGAGCGGCGAAAACTGAATGAGAGGGAGACCAGGCACTTCTTCAGGCAGATTGTCTCTGCGGTTCATTACTGTCACAAGGTAAGTCACCAGTGAGTTACTGACACCAAACCTGACAGAGACCGTTACCAGCAAAATCTACAATGATCTGCCAGAGGTTTTGTCTATTGGTTAAACTGGAATCATGGAATATCAAAAACCAGGACAGCAGCAGCCTGAAACCTTAGTTTCCTTACACCCAGACACCCACCCGCTCATACACCCACCCGCCCACACATCCACCCCCCCACACGCCCACACGCCCACCCCCCCACACACACACCCCCATACGCCCACCCGCCCACACACCCACCCGCCCGCACACCCACCCGCCCGCACACCCACCCCCCCACACACACCCCCACACACACACCCCCAAACACACCCCCACCCGCCCACACACACACCCCCACACGCCCACACACACACGCACCCGCCCGCCCACACACACACCTCTGTTTACCAGTAGTAAGTAGGAACCTGCTTGTTCCTCGATTGGCAATTGCTTTTCCTGTGGTAATCATCCTTTCAAATTTTCTTTAAAATACTAATAATTTGGTCACTCAATCCACGACTGTTCGTGGGACGCTGTTTTGCGCAGTTGGCTGCTGCGTTCTGCCCACAAAGCATACACTCACAACACTTTACAGTATTCCGTGAAGCACTTTGATCCTAACTGTAATGTAAGGATCCGGAGGATTTACTATGGAAAGCTGTGTGTGCTAATGCCACCAGTCCTAAACCAAGTGGTCAGAGGAGCAGTCGATGTCTCTGAGCTTATGTGGTGTCAGATATCACTCTTACTTATTGTGCTTCCCCACAGCAGGGAGGAGGGGGGGAGTGGGAGGAGGGGGGCATTTGGGGGTGGAATTCTGTTGGGGAAAGAATGCCACTGCTGTTTCTCGTGTTTGCTGGAGGAGAGATTCCAATCATTCCTCAGTTATCCCCACAACGAGAGGCTAAGCCTATCCCTGTAGCACAGCTCTGGTGTTTGAGTAACAAGACTGTCCTGAGATCAATGTTAAGCCACTGCTGATTAATCTGTCTCACATTTGTCTTGCAGAAAGGAGTTGTTCATAGAGACCTCAAATTAGAAAACATCCTTCTGGATGACAACTGTAACATTAAGGTAGGAGGACAGGACAATAACAATACTGTATAATATTTATGACACAGTTGAACTTCCCTGGAAAATGTAAGCAGGAACATATTCCCACGTAAAAGTCTATACATCAATCTGTCGGTTTCCAATTGGTCTTCAATACAGTAAAACTGGCCTCAGTCTGATCTGTATAAATCGTATAATCACCTAAGTTGAACATTTGCCCGAGTCCCATTGAAGAGCTTATGTGCTGTGCAAGTTTGACGTAACTCTCACTTTGCGTAAGTTACATTAACTGACTGACTGACTGATCCGGGTTATGTGAGGTTTACTGTATAATTGGAGCTTTGCTGAGTGCCTGTGTAGAGCTCCCTGATCCATATCTTAGCAGAACTTCCTGCCTCTCACCTTGTGGTCTCCTATACTTGAGTCAGTGTGCTCCATCCAGAGGCAACGGCTGTCACACCCTTTACCAGGAGAAAAATCTACTTGGATGAATTCTGAGTAAATAATAATCTTTGCATTTGATATCACGCCTTATCACGTCTTCGAGACGTCTCAAAGCGCTTCACAGGATATACTGTAAAATGTAGCGACTGTGTATTTTGTGGGCGAAACGCAGCAGCCAATTGCGCACAGCAGCGTCCCACACACAGTCATGGAGTAATTGGAACTGGAGCTTAAAGCTGAGTAAAAGACATTTCAGAAGCACCTTCTCTCAGGAATCCAAGCTGCCTGTGAATATTTGCCATTTCTGAATCTTTTCTCGGGTAGCTTGTCTGTGTTATTGCTGACCACAGATCTGCTGCAGGTTTATAAATTATGCTGAGGTCAAAGCCATACCTAATTGCAGACGGAAGTGAAGTATCAGAACACATAAATAATCCATTTCCCTTTCCTTTTTCTGCACAGTAGTAAAAGCTTCATAATTCACAGTCTCGTTTATATTTCAGTCAACGCTTAACCAAATACACCCAGTCTATCCTTGGGGTCTGTAAGAATACTCTCTAACCAGGGCCCAAGGAAGATCCAAGGCCAGAAATTCCACCAAGTTTTATTCTATATTTTGCGATTAAAATGTAAGATTTTGCAGAATTGTGGAAAATTCTTAAATTCAGCCCTGGTTTGGAAGCTCTCTTTCTGCAGTCGCTAAATAATAATCTGTTTTCAAATGAAGACGGAATTTGAGAATTTTGCACAATTGCCTCACAAGCAAGAGGACCCGGGTTTGAATCCCGGGCGGGCGAAACATTGAGTAAGTTTCCTTACTCCACACACCTCTATTTACCCAGCAGTAAGTAGGAACCCACTTGTTTGTCAATTGGTGGACAGATTTTCTGGGGGGAATAATCCACAAAATATACAGTCAATTCACTTTACAGTATATTCTGTGAAGTGCTTTTCAGATGCCTTAAAGATGTGATAAGGTGCTATATCTAATGCAAGGATTATTATTATTGCATGTAACCTTTTTCTAAAGGCAAAATGACAAGATTAAGTGGAATTCCGGGTCTGGAGTGAGCTCTGAGTAATAGAGTACAAGTAAAGTACAAGAAAATAAGGGAAATAATATTTAATATTTGAAGCAACCTTTTGATCGCAGTAGATTGTGAGGCTGCAAGTGACAAAACGAGAAAATAATTTTCTCGTCAGCAAATAAATGATTGAAACGATCTGTAAAAGGAAGTGGTTTAGGGAGTTGGCCGTTTACTGCAGCTGTGACGAGGGTGGGTGGGTGTGAATTTACTCCCTCAGTCACATCAAACTCACAGATGGTCCATTGCACTGCTCAAGGAACCTCCCGCTGACCTGGTTTCATGTTAGTCTGGAGCTGGTTTTGTGATCGGTCTTTTTCTCTGTCCCTGGAGACGGCAGCAGATAGATGAACAAGGCCTTTCGACATTGAGTGTCAGGAAAACCGTTTGTGTTATAAAACCAATTGACAGGGGTGAGAGAACCGGCATCTCAGCCCACAGGGAGCTGCTGTATATAACAGGCGAGAATGGATAGTGACTGAGATGGAATCAAAGTGACTGATGGAAATATATGTCCATTGCCCCTCTCACCCTGACAGTGAATCAAAGCGCTTCACAGAATATATTGTACAGTGGATTGACTGTATTTTGTGGGTAAAACGTAGCAGCCAATTGCACACAGCAGTCGTGGATTGAGTGACCAAATTATATGTTTATCATCCTGAAACCAGCCGTTTCCCTCTTCTGGTCAGAGAAATTGTGCCAGGTCAAAGATTACCAACAAGCCTCATTAGGGAAGTATTTAAATTAATTCCACTAAAGCATGTGTTAAAATGCCAAAAAGGTGAAGTAATCCGTGTTTCACTTTATCACGTGTTAGTGGTGTGGCTGGTCTACTGGGAGCTGTGATAAACATCAGTCTGGGAGGATGGGAGGGGAAGGGGGAATAAATACTCTCTTCCTGTACAATGGTAATAAAACACTGCTGCCGTATAGCCTGTAGCCTGCTCCCCAGCGCAGGACACCCAGAGATTAGATATTCCACTCACTGCAGGCAAAGTGCTGTTTATAATAATAATAATAATAATCCTTGCATTTGATATAGCGCTTTTCACGTCGGGAGGACGTCCCAAAGCGCTTCACAGAACACACTGTAAAGTGAATTGACTGTATATTTGTGGGCGAACGCGGCAGTCAAATGCGCACAGCAATGTCCCACAAACAGTCGCAGATTGAAAATGACCAATTTATTATTGTTTTTGGTTTTGGAGGATTATTATTAGGCTCTGTGTGGAGTAAGGAAACTTGCCCAAGGTTTGGCCCTCTGCCTGGAATTGAACTCAGGTCTCTCACTTGCAAAGCGAGTGCTCTAACCACTGAGCTACAGGACTCCACATTTATTTACCTGATCCAGGCTTGTTGTGCAGTGTCAGCCTGGGCTGTTCAGCCCGGCAACTCACAGAGAGGTTTGGAATCAGTCAATCAGCTTTCATTTCATTCATTCTATCACTGACCAGAAGCTTCATTAACAATTAGAACACACTGCAGAGCTCATTCGATGGTGTAGGAGAGAAAAACTAAACTACAACAACAACTTGTATTTACATAGCGCTCCTCGCGCAGGGTAACATCCTAGAGCACGAGAGTTCCCAGTCACTGACTTCCTGAGGGATAGTTATATTAGCAGAATATCTGTTGTACAACCACATGTGTTTTGATGATGGATATACTGGCAAACTCCTCTAGGAACTGAGGAAAGAGATTTAATTTATCTGACATCTGGAGAGATCTGATAATACAACTTTAATGTTCTTGATATGTGGCAATCTTTACAACAAGGTTCTGCTGATATTTAAACACATAAGTCTTATCATTTGAACCAATACTTTTAATATGACTTATGCAAGATATTACGCAAGGTATAAGTTATATCAGACATGTATAGAATATAAATTCTTGAACGGCATTTGGGCAGATGTACGACTTGGGTGAAAATACGATTTACACAGATCAGACTTATGCCAGTTTTACTGTACTTAGTTCTAATGCATTGGTTATATTTGTAAGAATAGAAATATCTGTAATTAACGTGTAATTGCTGTCTGCAGATTGCTGACTTTGGGCTGTCCAACCTGTACCATCAGGACCGGTTCCTGCAAACGTTCTGTGGGAGCCCGCTGTACGCCTCCCCAGAGATTGTTAATGGACGACCTTATCGAGGTCCTGAGGTTAGTGGCACAGTTTGATTCTTACTTGACGATTTCAACCATTTCCTCACCAATGCAGGGGCTTGATTTTGTAATGAAATCAGGTCTATTCATTGCTCAGGCATTGACCAGTGTTTTACAATGGATTCTCATAATAATTAGTAATAATCGAGGGCACCCAATGAAAGTCTCGCTCTCACATCAAGGATTTACCTGAAATGAACATTTCATTCAGATTCTATGAGCAAGTGGCAATCCAGAACAAGGGGCATCATCTTAAAATAAGAGCTAGGCCATTTTGGAGTCAAATTAGGTGGCAGGATTTTTTCTATGAAGAATAATTGTTATTTTCTCTGTCCAGTGTTTCAGTGAAGTGTGAGAGGACATGTTAAAATCCTTCACGTTGTAGTTTATATTGCAATGAGGTGTGTTTCTCTGGCTGTTACAGGTGGACAGTTGGGCACTTGGTGTCCTGCTCTATACTCTGGTATATGGAACAATGCCCTTTGATGGTTGCAATCACAAAAACCTCATCCGGCAGATCAGCAGCGGTGAATACCGTGAACCAACAGAGCCATCAGGTAATAATAATATTTACTACATGTTTTGTTTTGTGGGTGAAACACGGCAACCAAATTTCGCACAGCAGTGTTCCCTATCACTGACAAGCTGTGTCGTTTGATCTGGTTAGACTCCAGCAGTTACCCCAACGCACAGTCTGGGCTCCCTGCAAGCCTTGGCTCTTGCCAACCTGCGCCTAATACTCTATGGAATTAGGTAAACAGGACGTGTCCCTCCGGGGAGAGAGTGTGTCCATTCCATTCCAACAATCTAATTCTATGATTCTATATGATCTCTGGGAGTTTCATGTGTAGATAGGAAGCCTAGAATTCTCAGCTTGATTTGGAGACTCTTAAGCAACTGTGACGGGTTTGTGTGCGTGTCAGGCACCCGGCTGGTCACGGTGACGGGTTTCCGTGTGTGTCAGACACCCGGCTGGTCACGGTGACGGGTTTGTGTGTGTGTCCGACACCCGGTTGGTCACGGTGATGGGTTTCTGTGTGTGTCCGACACCCAGCTGGTCACGGTGATGGGTTTCCACGTGTGTCAGACACTCGGCTGGTCACGGTGATGGGTTTCCACGTGTGTCAGACACTCGGCTGGTCACAAGCAAATCAAGCTGTATCTGAACATCTCGTTCCTCTTCTTTCCCAGACGCACGTGGCCTGATCAGGTGGATGTTAATGGTAAACCCAGAGCGTCGAGCCACAATTGAAGACATCGCTAACCACTGGTGGGTGAATTGGGGTTACAAGCTGAGCGTGTGTGACTGTGAGTCAGCCCGGGACTCTGAGTCTCCTCTCCTGGCCCACTTTATAGACTGGCAGCATCGCTCCTCCAGCTTACACTCTGAGAGCGAGTCCAAGGTAAAGTGCCTAGTCAAGCAGTACAATTGCCAGGTCACATTGGAGCGTCAGAAATCTGTCAAGAAATCCAAAAAGGGAAAGGACATTGCACACTCGCTGCAAGAGGGAGCTTCTAACGAGACTCCGTCCAAATCGATTTTGAAGAGGCCCAAAGGGATCTTAAAGAAACGAGGTAACAGTGATTATCGCTCTCACAGCACTGGGGCAATGGAGGGACTGGCTGGCCAGGTTGGCCCCTCCTGTGTGTTGAAGACTGATCAGGAGTTGAGCAAATCTGTTGTTTCTTCTGGGGCCACAGGAGACATTGACCAAAGCTCTCAGCACAAACTGGCCAATAAATACCCCAGCTCAATGCTGCCAAAGAAGGGAATCCTGAAAAAGACACAGCAACGGGAATCTGGCTATTATTCTTCTCCTGAGCGCAGTGAATCTTCTGAGCTGCTTCACCCTGACTGTGCTGCAGATATCAGCTCCATCAGAGGCGAGGTGGGGCTAAAGAGCTCTGGCCTGATTGCGTACAGGAGAAAAGGGATTCTCAAATACAACAGTAGGTTTTCTGCCAATAGTATGAACGCTCCCTCGGCCGGGCTATCACTGCACATCACCGAGTCTCTGGAGACCATGATGGTGTCAGAGGATGGATTAACACAAACTCGCAGTCGCCCGTCCAGTGTGATCAGTGACGACAGCATCCTCTCCAATGAATCCTTTGACTTGCTGGACCTGCCCGAGGACAAGGCGAGTCGAGGCCGGCTACGAGGCTGTGTGTCTGCGGAGAATCTGCTCCACTTGGAGGACTTTGAGGAGCTCCAGATCCACCCCCAGATCAGGAACATGAAGTGTTACCGGAGCCAGCTAAGCGACAGTAAATTTTCTCTGTTCATGGACATGGAAGACGTCACTCAGGTCTATAAGAAAGCCCTGGAGATCTGCAATAAATTCAACTGATGAACAAGGCCCAGGGGCGTTGCTTACTAACTAGATGGACTGATTCACATTGTTAGTAAAGTGTAGTGACTGTTTCAGGCCAGGCTAGACCTGAGCTCTATTTAGCTCATCCAAAGTGGTTCTGTTTGTTAGCGGTGAGGCTGATCACATGTCAGTTCCTCAAACTGATTGATTGACGGTGCACAGAATCCACTGATGTCACATGTGATGGACTGAATGAGGAGAGACAGGAAATGCTAAGTTGAAGAAGGGACTGAGAAAGTAGTGCAGGCGAATGGATTGGAAAGGCAGTGAGGTGGTAGGTTGGAGTGTGGTGAGTGGTGATGGCTAAGCATGTGGTTTGAAGGCAAAGAAGTCACAAGGTTTGTGTAGTTAGACTGGAATTGGCAGCGTATGGAACAAGGCAGAAAGGATTTCTGATAGATTATATGCTTGAAACTCTTCATTACTTCCTAGAATGGAAGGAACATTTTTATGAACGCAATAGAACATTATTACTGGGAACCTCTTGTGACAAATGTTTGTTTTGGTTCTGGCAAAACTCCATCATAATCACTGAAGGAGCTCAGATCTTAATAATAATCCTTGCATTTGATATAGCGCCTTATCCTGTCTTCGAGACATCTCAGAGCGCTTCACAGAATATACTGTAAAGTGAGTGTATATTTTGTGGGCGAAACGAATAAGAACCAATAAAGGAACCAAGTCTTGTGTTAGTCTGTAATAATGAGCTTTGAAATATAGAAGCTATAAGAAAACGCGCTGAAATTCTTGAAAAGATGTGTTAACCTTGGGTCTGTTTGCTAATGTTAAAGAATCTCCTACTTGGCGACGTGCTGTGTATCATCTGTGTATATTCATAATGTGAAACCGAATGACTGCTTATATGTCAAACTGGAAACTACATCTGTAGAGAGACTCACTGACATATTTTTGTTATTATTCCTATGAAACTTGACTGGACAACCTTTTTTATAGTATTATATTTTATTTAAGTTTTAAATGTTGACTGCAACATGATCTGTTTCAACGTGCCTTTTATTTATTGGTCTCAAAGCCATGTGAAAGATGTAATATATTGTGTAAAATGATAAAATTGTGCCAATGTTGTAAAGCCAAAGTATCTGAGTTTGTGGCTGTGAGGTTTGGATGTTTCTGCACTAGGAATAGCTGGAGAACAACCCAAAGTGTCTGTTACCAAGTGACTTTGCCTTAGAAAAACAGTCTCAACTCCACAGCTGTTACTGTCCATTTCAATGCATTAAATAACTTACTAATGAAAGATGCAGTTTGGTTTAATTATAAAATAACAGTTCATTGTTTCACGTAACATCAATCTGCTGCACGTCAGCGGATTGACATAAATGTATGATTAATGAATACATTTTCTTGTCATTTTTCCAATTGCTCACAAATGCTCTGTGGTTTACAGCGAAATATATTTTCCCATTTAGAGATTTGGGATAGTAGTTCCTGACCGCAAGTCTAAATAAGGATTTCTTTATACTTATTAGATGTGTTTTATCTTTTACATAAATACAGTTCTTAAACAGAAATGGAGCTATTAAATGTAATAAATGAGTCCTGTAGCTCAGTGGTTAGAGTCCTCGCATCACAAGTAGAGGATCTGGGTTCGATTCCTGGCAGGGTGAAACGTTGGGCAAATTTCCGTACTCCACATGCCTCTGTTTATCTAGCAGTACGTAGAAACCCGCTTGTTAGCCGATTGGCAGATCGCTTCTCCGGGGGTAATAATTTCTCCAAAAAAAAAGATTTGGTCAATCAGTCCCCAACTGTTTGTGGGACGCTGCTGTGCGTAATTGGCTGCCACGTTTTGCCCACAAAATATATAGTCAATTCACTTTATGGTATATTCTGTGAAGCGCCTTGAGACGTTTCAAAGGCAAATACAAGAAGTATTTGTGTCTCTGGGTTTCTGTCTGTGTGTGTAAGGGCAGTGAGAGGCAGCCAGCAGCTAAGTGACAAGGACCAGTCAATGTGTACAAACCACAAACACATAACACTATCTGCACATCCCACACAGCACAAACCAACATCCTTCCCAGGCCTGTCAGGAACTCCAGGCAGCTCGCTGACTCTTCATTGCTTTCCAGCCCAGCAGCTGATCAAAAAGGAATGACACCTGCTCTGGGCATCATGATGTCCAGCTGTTTATCACTTGGTGTGTGCTTGGCTTGTCATTTTTCCCCTTTAAAATATAGAGCATCTCCAATCTGTATCTGATATTAAAAAAATGACTTCAAACATGTTTTCGTTTTCTCCTATTGAGACGGCAGTGGATCTAATTATAATCCTTGTCTTTGATATTAGCTCCTTTCACATCAGGAGTTTTGTCTCAAAGTGGCTTCATGTAATTCACTGTGAAATGTTTTATATTTCAAAGAGAATGCAATAGCCAATTTGTGCATAGTAACATCCCACAAACAGCCATGAAGTGAAGTGAGAGACTGATTGTTTCTGGGAAATTGTTGGCTTGTATGAGAGAAGGAACTTGCTTCTCTTTTCCAACAGTGACATAGAATCTGTTCAAACTTCAAAATAAATACAAGACGTTTCCCCAGCTCCGTGTAGACTCAGAGCTTCAAAGAGATTTATTTTGCTACCTTTAAATATTCAACAATATTTTCATCACATCTAGGCTTGACTATGCCAAGGGAAGGAGCGAGGTGAAGGGACTGTGGGATGGAGCTCCAGAGGGCAGAGAGGTGGAAGGTCCAACTGACAATGGTGAGGCGGGCTGGGCCGGGCAGGGGACATGGAGCAGGCGGAGCCCACTGAGCGGAGGGAGTGGACTGGTCAATATGGAGGTAGCAGGTCAACGCCACATGGACCTGTCCACATGCCACCTCAGATTGGCTCATGAAGACCATTTGGTCTTAAAATTTAAGATGACGCCAAAAATTCTTGTAGTTGGTCTTAATTTTTGAGACCTGTTTTCTGTAGTTCTTAAAAATAAACCAACTCCTAAGCTATCACATCTCAGAGGTTTCTGCAATCCTGCAGGATTAAAAAAATTTAAGACAAAATATCTCAACAGGCTAGGACTTGGTGGAATTTTGGGAAAAAAAATGTCTTGCACGAGTGCTTTACAGTCCATTACTTACTATAGAGTGTAGTGACTGTTTAAGGGCAAAACTGCCCATTACAATCTGCCAGAGAGCAGCTAAGGGCTCCTCCATTAATGTTTCTCTCCTGGTCTCCAAGCTGTACCTTATCTCTGCTCTTCTCCTTGAACTTGAACTCCTTGAGTGTCTCAGGTTGGACACTCACTGGCAGGTAGATTAGCCATGGACATAGGAGAATGTTGGTCCACATCAAACTGTGCCCTAAACATTACTGCTTGTCAAATTCCCACCCGACGCAGAATTGTCCAGTGTTATCAGTTCTGTCGGCTGTGGTACAAAATGTTACCATAGCTAAGAACATTCTCGAGTATTTTTAGTGTTGTCCGTTTCTTTTACGTCCTCATAAGTTCCTCTGGTAACTTCAAGCAGCCAATACAAATACCTGGCCAGGACCCTAGTCACCAACAGTGTGAAACAGGCATCAGTCTGGGCCCTGGACATTTGGCTGATGTCCTTTTATGGACAGAATGTGTGGAATGTGATTATCCCTCTGCTCATTAGTACGTCCATCTGTTCCCGTCACCGTGCGGACTGTTAAATATAGTCATGACCTTTTCAAAAGAAAAATGAATTTTCTATTTTAGTGCAGAGAAAAACAGTACGTTCTTTGTCCAGGTTAAAACAGCAAGTCAATAAGACAGTGAAAGGGAAGCCAACACAAGCATGTAGCACTTACCCAGATTCCTGTGGTTTGTGTCACGTTCATTGTATTGTACATTATTTCAGTCTCCAGGATATTCACGCTGTTCTGGAGATCACAGAACTATTTAGCCAGGTTCAGGAACGCATTGACCTGAGCTGGAAGAACACAGCTGACCTAGAAAAAAAACCTCCTTATTGAAACCCCTTGTTTTGTTGCTGTGATAATGAATCCTGGCTGGAGAGATGTTTGCAGTTAGAGCACAGGAATGACAATAACCTATTATTACAGTTGGAAAGGATCAAATACATCAGATGGCTGATTTAGGAGCTGAGTTAGAAAAACAATTATGCATCTACTTTGAAAGAGAGAAAGAAAGAATAAAGGAAGGAAGGATTACATGGAAGGCTTTTCCAACTACAATACGTTTCTCATACTGTGAGATCCCACTGAAAAATCAACTGCAATTTATAGTAATAATAATCCTTGCATTTGATATCTCAAATGGAGTCCTGTAGCTCAGTGGTTAGAGCACTCGCTTTGCAAGTGAGAGACCTGAGTTCAATTCCAGGCAGAGGGCGAAACTTTGGGCAAGTTTCCTTACTCCACACAGAGGCTAATAATAATCCTCCAAAACCAAAAACAATAATAAATTGGTCATTTTCAATCTACGACTGTTTGTGGGACATTGCTGTGCGCAATTGGCTGCCGCGTTCGCCCACAAATATACAGTCCATTCACTTTACAGTGTGTTCTGTGAAGCGCTTTGGGACGTCCTCCTGACGTGAAAAGCGCTATATCAAATGCAAGGATTATTATTATTATTATTATTATTATTATTATCTCGCCTTAACATGGCTTTGAGACTTCTGCGAGCACTTCACAGGATACACTATGATGTGTAGTGACTGTGTGTTTTGTGGGGAAATTTAGCCTCCAGATAGACATTTGGGACTGAGAGATAGATAGTTTATCTTCGGGAATGACTTTGAAGATCTTTTATTTCTTCTAAGCCTCTCTGGTGGTGTGGAATCCCAGTGGAATCTATTCAGCAATTTTGGAGATTGAAATAGATTTTCTTTTTAGGTCATTGATTTTCTTTTGACATTGCTGTAGTGTTCAATGCTACTGAGCTTTCTTTATCTCTCCCTGGACATGTGCCTGAACTGGTTGAATTTTGTTGATGTTCCAAATAAAAAGTGATAGAGAAGGTTAAATAATTAATAATTCCCCTGTGACCCCTGAGGCAGAGTTTAATAATGAAATAAATCACTGGCTTTTGAGGTTGTTCTTTTGCATAAGTTCTTAACCAAAGGCTTCCAGTACTTTACATTGTAAACATGTACAAGGTGAGCAAAAGCCATGAGATCTACCCTATTATCTAAAAAAATCAGCATTTCTTTAAGACTTATTAGGCATTTTAACAGCACCAAGACATGTTGGTCACCATGTGTTATGTCTATTCAATATGTTGTGCAGTGGAGGAGGAGGCAATGGAGGAGGAGGCAGTGGAGGAGGCAGTGGTGGTGGGGGCCGCATTAGCAGAGCAAGTGCCATGGAGCCATTTCATTCCCTTGCTGCTGAGTCCCTAATGTCAGGGCTGTGTCTATGGGGGAGCAGGTTATCTGAGTGGCAGAGAGTGTGTGACTAAGGGACACAGCCATTTGACGAGCCAGACAGGATCCTGGTTTACCATCTCCTGTGATATCCGGCAGCTCCCTGTGCCATGTCTATGACTGACAGGGTGTCAGTCTGCGATACAAACTTCACATCCCAACATGGGGCTCATACCCCCAACAAATGACATTTGTATAGCGCCTTTCACCACAGGAGTCAGGGTCCCACCATGAGCATATCTACCACCCAGTAAGTAGGAATCCTGTTGTTAGTTGATTGGTGGATCACTTTTTCAGGGGTAATAATCCAATAAATATATATTTTTAAATAATAATAATTTGATCACTTAATCCAGCCTGTTTGTGGACACTGTTGTGCACAATTGGCTGCCGCGTTTCGTCCATAAAATATACAGTCAATTCACATTACAGTGAATCGTGTAAAGCGCTTTGAGACGTCTCGAAGACGTGATAAGACGCTGTATCAAATGCCAGGATTATTATTATTAACTTTATTTTCCTGACTTGCTATTTACAGAAGTTTCTTACTTGGATACTTAAAGTTTTTGAAAGCTGACAACACACTAATAAATGTCAGCTGTTGGGAAGATCCAGCTGTGAAAACTGACAACCCTGAGCTGTGGAACCACAACTGTACATGTGCACTTCCTGATGCACGGTGAATTATAACGTCTGATTTACTGAAAGGCTTTCATTTGTTTCTGAACCGGGCATGTTCACACTGGAGAAAAGAAGGCTGAGGGGCGATATAATTACGATTTTCAAGATTCTGAAGGGAATAGATAATGTAGACCATGATAAGATGTTTTATCTTGTACTAAACAAGAGAACCAGATGACGCAGCCTGCGATTGAAGGGG